TTCTGCAGCTCTGCTGGTTTTAATACTTCTCACTGTCTGCTGGTGGATCAGGTGAACGTTACAGTGTTATCTCTAAGACCAGTTATGTTTAAAGTGTGATGTGAAATGTTTTACCCATTCACTGATTTGTTTCTTTTATGCAACAGAAAAAAGAAGACTTCCAGTCAGTCTCCAAGAGGAGAAATGTCAGATACAGTGGAGCAGGTACGAAACAAGATTCAAATAATTCTGCTGTGTTAGAAAAACTTCCCCTTATCTTTCCTTTTTTCCTCATATGATCATTTATCTTAGCTTGTTTCAGTTTGTCAGACAGGTTCTATTTGAGAATCTCAGTGACAGTGCAGTACAGTGACAATGTAACAAACAACCAGCTATGAGTTATTGATGCAGTTTGATATAAATTTATAAGAACTGTCTCGTCTCCTCAGATGAACGTTGACCCCATGTATGAAAACATCTCAGCTCAGTCAGCAGAGCAGGATGATCATCACTACAGCAGACTGCACTTCAGTGAGAACCACACAGCTGACCTCTACTCCACCATCGAGCCACTGTACGCTCAATAAAGAAACGTTTGTTACCATGGTGATTTCAACTCCAGTGATATTACGTTACCATCACAGCAGAGAAACTGCAGCGTCTGGATCTGTCTGTGGGTTACACTCGCTTCATTGGAATATAAAACATTCCACAGAAATCAATTGAAATTGAAAAGCTCAAGTAGAAATTCTCAAGCCTTTGAATTAAAACATATTTGGTAATTACGTACGTCTGTCACAAAAACCTGCAAAAAATGACGCAACCGTTTAAAAATTCTGCTATGTCCAAAATGAGTGTGCATTTACTGATCACCCACTTAAAGGGTGCTATTTTTGATAACTTTGTTAGACATTTTATTACTTTGTGTGATTTGGGTGCCACTAATGAAAACATCAAAGCCATTGTGTCCTCAGGTTTGTCTTCTGTTAGGTTTTTGTCTGTACCACAAAATAACCACTAACACTGTCACCTGTCTCTGCTTTCATTGTCAGCACTGTCAGGTTTTCGATGAACATATAATAATATGTAACCATGTCACATGTTTAACTGAGCTGCTTTGAATGCAGTTTGTCTGGAGACAGACTCACAAAATTAAAATCTTTTTTCAGCCTTTCAGGTAGGAATGAAATATTTAAGAAAAGAGCAGATTCACTGTGTGACATGATTTGTTCTGTATGACCTCTCAATTGTATTAAAGTACCAGATTTGGACTCTTTAACACTAAAGTGTTTTCTTCACACAATTTGAAGTCCGTCATTATACAATGAGAAAGATGAAAAAAAGATGACAAGTGAAAAACAGTTGCCAATCTTCCTAGGCATAGACGTCCCAGACACTTCACACCAAAGTCAGACCACATAAAGCTCAGAGAAACTGCAAATCGCCCATGAACTACAATCCTCCAAAGGCCTCAGTTAGCATGTTAAATATTAATATTCATCTAAGTGCAATTAGAAAAAGACTGAACAAATATGGTCAATACAAATTATGAACAGCACCACATTTGAAGAGCATCTCAAACTAATTAAGCACACAAGTCATATACACTGAACGAGGGCTGAAGATATGGGCAGTGTTGCCTACACAGAACCAGGACACCAGGGCTGGACTGGGCAGCTGAACTGCTGCTACGCCATATATCTTAAGGCACCCGGGCCCTCACGTACCTGCGATACGCACCTTGAAGAACAGAATTTAATTTTGAAGAGATGAGAAAAGATAAGAGTTGACAAGTTAAGAGAAAAAAAAACAAAAAGAAAAAATAGTAAAATCAAAAGAATCGGTATGTTAGCTATTGGGGTTGCTGTCACCGCACTTTCAACAGTACAATCAGTAACAACTACTAACAAGCCGTCACAGTGGTTTTGTAGGGACAACAATCCCAATAAAAAAGTGAGAAAGAGACACAGGAAGCTGAAATTAATGTATTAAGAAAATAAATGATTA